TGGCAGTCCACTGCTCCCTAACGCGATGTTAAATGCAGAGGGTTAATTTTGTTACTTTGTACTAAACTTTTCAACTCGATACCGATACTAAGTAAAATATTCGATACTCGATACCATTTATCGATACCACAAGAATAAAAACAAAGACTCATAAATTCAACAGAAATATTTTCATTACTAAAAAAATACAAGAAATAAATTAAAAAAAACAATAAGAATAATATTTTGAGGTTGTATGCTGTACACAATATTAAGCAAGCTTGATAAAAAAAACGTACAAAATTAAAATTAAGTGTTCCTTCCTTGGCTATGTTTTGCAGACATAACAATGACACTAGCCAAACCGGTTAAGAAACAAAAATTATTCTTAGCAGCTGCACCTGTTACTGTACAGAAAAAAGTCTGAAACTGAAAAATGCACAGAATTATTCAATCACACAGTGTTCAGAAAGTGCATTTTCCACTGTACTTTTGACAACCCTAGTCACAGCATAATGACAATAAAAAGCTGAGAAATAAAAAAAAGTGAGGCTCTTACCTAACCAGTTATTGTAAGGGTTCGGTTCAGTTATCTATATTTTAGATGTTATTTACAGAAGCAATAATGCTGACTCGGGCTCCTTTAGGAGGCTTTCTTTCCTTTCCTGCCATGAAGTCAACCTTAACTACCCACTCTCCTCCCTCTTGGTTCATGGAAGCCTGCACTGTAAACACTGTTTTTGCTTTTTCTGTCTTGCTTTATCCCCCCTACTGGGTTGGGAGTCCTTAGAACCACAAGATCATTGAAGGCACCCGGGGTTATTATTAGAGGTTTCAACAGATAAACATGTTGGAGATCTGTGTAGTACACTTCACATATTTTCTTTCTTTCTTCTTGGAAGGAAAAAAAAAATCTTCTGTGGGCAGTTTATAGAGTTAACCTCCTAGGGGCCCTAAATTCAATCAAGCTGTTCTGAGTGCCTCAGCGGTTGCCTCGGTGGGTCTCTCCTCAATTTGCAAGTCTAAAGCCAAAGCATTTGTCAGAAGTGCAGCGTGAGACTGGCCACAGGCAGGTTCTCATGCTAAAAGCTTCCTTTAAGTAAAAGGAGACTGAACTGGGCTATGTTTAAAATGATCGGAGAGTTCAGTGCCCTGCCTTGTTTTGCTATTAAACCCGCCTCTCTGAAATAAATGTTCTGGACCCTTCATCTACTCATCTTTCTGTTTTATCTGATTATTTATTTGAGCCTCACAAATCTGTTAAAAAGGGTAAAAGGTTTTTAGCTGAAGTTCAGACATTGACTTGGACATTTAAGACATTCGGAGGTGGGTCTGCACGTGTTTTCTTTGGATGCTGCTACAGAATCTTGCTTTGTTTTAACTTGAAATCACAAACCGGTTGGGTTCCTTTAGGGTTTTCAGGTTGAGGGCAGAAATAAAGCCTCCATTACTGTAGGTAATGCAAGTGGTCCATCTGGATTGTCTGAGATATGACTTCACAATTTATCATCTATTTATTAGGGATGGAACGGTTTTTGAAAACCGTCCGAACAGTTCGGTTCGACGGTCTCGGTTCGCATGTGTTGCGTTCGGTTCATGCGCTGCTCCATTTTCTCATAGGCGAAGCGTTTACACTCCAGAGCAGAAGGTGGCGGTACTGCGACCAAAGCCAACCACCAGTAGTAAACAAGAAGAAGAAGAAGCGAAGCAGCTTAGCCGGGTGTAGCAGAAAAAAATCAGTTGTTGTGGAGAATTGTGTGGGTATGGCGAGTGGGAAAGAACAGGAGTTGGAAGACGCGCCAGCAGCACTTTATAGGTCTGCTGTATGGGACCACTTTGCATTTAGAGTGACCTACGATGACAGCGGAAAGAAAGTTGTGGATAAAAGTGCAACAGTGTGCAAGCATTGTGCAACACGTTTTGTTTATGCTAACAGCAACATGACCAACATGTCATGCTAACCTCGAAATCCCACATACTCCATCAGCGCTCCGCCCCGCTGCGCTCCAGACCGCCTGCACAAAGCAAAGCCTACAGCCTCCACTGTGATCGTAAAGGGCATGCGCAAGATGATTAAATTCAAAGCAGCAAAACATGCGGAAATGATCCATGGTTTCCGCGAATCATTAAAAATAATTACAATTCATTAATTTATTAGTATTTTTTCATTAATTTCATAAAAAAAAATTTTCATAAATTTTTTTTTTTTAGTGTAACAATCAACATATACCGAACTGAAAACCGTGACCACGAAACCGTGAACCGAACCGAACCGTGGATTTTGTGAACCGTTCCACCCCTACTATTTATCGTGATGCTAAATTTATGTCGTAAAGACCTGAACAGCAGTCAAAGGATTAGCTATGGCTCTCTATCATAGGAACATGTGTTTATTCTTCATATAGTGCCCACTGTTTGTGCATCATTTACACTGACTTAAACTGAAACCCTCCAATGTTGCTGTCAGTCCCTCTGCGATCTACTGGATGTATTGCTGTTGCACTTTAATTTCAGCCACTCCTGGGAATGTTTACCATTGGACCGTGTCTTCTCTGTTTGCGAGTAATGTCTCTCACTGGTCCCCAAAGCCCTGGAGTTTCAACCCTTTCCAGGCTGATGGATTTTATCATCTGACTGATTCATGTGATCATGAATTTCTCTCCATCAGGCCATGTGTGTGACACTTTGAGGTCACTTAGATTTTTTTCAGACAGGTACAGTTTTAGTTATTGATTTTAAAGAGGCTCTTAAGTGTAAACTCAAATGTGGTCCATCAAAGGGAAGGATATTACAAGGGGGTAAATATAGTTTCAAAAAGAGGCCAGGTTGCTTTAAAAAGTTTTTTCCCCTTGAAACAAATGATACATTTTTTTTTGCCTTTTTATTTTAGCCAGCTTTCACTGCAAAAACAATCTAGAAATAAGTAAAAATTCCTTAAATCAAGTGTATTTTACCTTAATTTTAGCAGGTAAATGGGATGATTTGCCAATGGAATGAGTATTTTTACTCTTAAAATAAGATAATTAGATAAAATGCACTTGAAATAAGACAATGCAGTTGCTTTTTCTTATTTTAAATGTAAATTGTCTTGTTCCACTGGCAAAGGGTCTCACTTACCTCCTCAATTCAAGAACAAATGTACTTAGTTTAGGAACAAATTACTTATTTAGATTTAAATTTTTTGCAGTGATATTAAAAATACTTTGATCTGAAACTTTAAGGTGTGACAAAAGAAAATAAATAGGAAGGAGCCAAAAGATCTTAAGCTATATTTAAACATATAGAATGTTCAAATACATTTAGAGTCATCTTGGTTGTTAAGAGATCCAGAAATACAAGACGATTTGTCTTAACTTAACTTAGCTTAACCTTTTTTTCCCAGGATAGATATACTATTTTTTCAAAGACCATACTTTGGCTTAATTAGATGTTTTGATGCCAGAGTAAATTCATCATCTGGCTCTGAGCATGTGGTGAATATGTGCAGCTATCCATTAAAGTGCATATCATTTTAATAAACATGTCATCTTACTGTGCAGCTGGTGGAGTATTTTAACATTTGGCCCCCTAACATGTTTAATAAGGTTTCATTTAACTTCACCGAGAGGGAAAAAAAACTAGACCTTAAAAGGCTTTTTTCCTCCAATAATAACATTTTCTGGGGTAGTTATGAGTTGGCAGTGTGCACCAGTTGAGGGAATAGTTATAGAGAGAATGAACTATTAAAGAGTGAATTTCTGACATCTAGTAGACACCAGACTTCTGGTACTTTAAAATGTTCTTAACTTATTAACTGTTAATTTCCAACTTCAGAAGATGCTTAATTTATTCTCAGATCTCTTTATTTTCCAGCAAAGAACAGAAGCGAGCAGTCAGAACTAATTAATGAGTTGTTTGACTCATTAATGTTAGTTTGATTAAGACTACATTTCAACCCACAGTGAGGTGATTTAAGCTTTCTCTCATGTGTTCAGGTCACCTACTTTGCAGATTGTGTGAGATTTAAACCAGGGTACAATACAGGGATTGCATAATGGCTGATTCTCTAAGACAACAGAGTCTCCTTCTCCTGGTCAATTTCACAATTCTTTTCAGGGTTTCCACACAGATCCATCAAGAACACACACCTTAAATATAGTGGTTGTCTTGATTTGCACTTTCTGCTTTTTTGTCAGTAGGAAAACAGGTCTGTGAGACTGATGTTGTACCTGCTTTCTTGTTGGCTGAGATCTGATGGAAATCCCTTGTTGAGCTGCTGCATTAGAATTGCAGATTTTAACTTGCTCATCAGCTGAAGAAGTAAACATTAGCATGCATCTTCTTGTCTCATTGTCCCCTAATCCCAGCTCAATTTTCATGACTGTAGAAAGATGTTCATCCCTGAAAGTAAACATGATTCCTGAAAGAATTGTTGAGATGCTGATAAAGCATCACTGGAGCAGTCTGACTGTATTATGCAAGGGAAATGAATTCAAATCATTAACAAAACAGAAATATAAAGGGATAGAATTGGATTGGATTTTATCTTTTCCATGTTTCCACAAATACCAGTTCTTTAGAAAAAAAATACATTGTCCTTTCGGGTTTGCAGTTCTGGGTCTATGTCCATCATAAGTTTAAATGCACATGCAAAAAAAAGCTAACAGCAGTTTGTTCAACAAGTATTAAAGTTGAAAAAGGAAGACAAGATTAGAAAAATCTACTTTATAGTCACAAACGGTATATTAGACCAAAAAAAATAATGTGGAGCTCCTGTTAGGGAGATGGCCATGTTCCATTTGTAGATCGCTATTTTTAAAGGTATTCCAGAGAAATAATAAAAGCAAAGAACAATTCTGCAAAGGTTACACAAAATACTTAACATTTGCAAAGTCAGCCTATGTACCTAAGATTGTACATTAGGAACGTGCTTAATTTGCTACAGCTTAAAGTCTGATTTTTATGACTACAATAATTGTGGCAGACTTCAGCCCCCCCAAACAGGACGCTTGATCACAATGTCTTTTCTGTATTCATTGCAGATGTGCCTCCACTGGCTTACTCAGTGTTTTTGGAACTACCTGGACTGGAGCGAAATCTGCATGTACATCTGCACCTGTGCGGTGATGGGTCCAGATTACCAGGTTTACCTGTGTGTGGCTATATTCAAACACCTGCAGCCTGAGATCCTGGAGCGCACACAATCCCAGGAACTGCAGGTTTTCCTCAAGGTAAACCAGAGCTTCATTCACTTTTTAGTTGTCCACAATATTAAAGATTAAACCTGTTAATTGTCGTGTTAATTTCTAATTTGTTTGCAAGATGTATAGTAATTAATAACATTGGCCTAAGAGCTTGCTAAAATGCAATCTCTTTACCTAAAGTCTCAGGAAAATGAATTCATACTTTTTCCATAATCAACCCCTTGCATTTATTACTTGCTTCTTCTGATACTGCTTTGCCATGGGATTTCTCTCCTTTCTGTTTTGTCTATCAGCACATTGTTTCGCTGGTTGCTCATCACCGGTTTCTTAGTGTGGATCTGGAAGTCCCACAGGATCACAGCTCACTTATTCTCTACTGCTCTGGGGCGTTTCTCTGGCTTTAAATACTGGATCTCCAGCCTCCACTTGACAGCATTTCTTTTTAGTCCCTTAATTATGGTATTCCATGTTCCCTTTGCCTTCAAGAGTCTCCCCTTACCCTTCATTGTGTTTGTTTTCAGTAAAAAGTTTGCATCTTGGGTCTTGTCTTATGCTGTAGACCCTGTCTATTTTACTTTTGTTCTAAAAGGTGTTGTGCATTCCTTTAGTTCAGTCCTATTTAATGAGAACAATATCAATATCTTCCTCAGCCCATTGGATATATACAGCATCTGGGGGCTCATTTCTCCATGACTCTTCTTTTTGCTATTTGAGACATTTGTTTAACTCTTGGTCAGTGTGCCCTATCTCTGCTGTATAAATAATGGAGGCAGAAATGCAGAACATAACTCAGGGGGCCAATCTATCTTCTTTACAATGGGGCTCTTCTACTGCTCCTCTGCTCCCAGGTTCCTCAATGTCCAGCTTCATTGAAAATGTCTCTCTGCATTCACACAACTGTATTAAATGCCTAAATTAACTTTTCAGAATAGAGTCCAGTTCCCAAGAGTCCAGCTAATGACCTCTGTTGAAGCAGAGAAACCTCAAATGTGGAACACTCTAGACGTCCGCCTCTGGAATTGAGAAACGCTGCTTTGAACCATTAGCTAGTTTAACAATAAAAAACAGCAAGCTGTCTTTCTAAAAATGCATAACTGTCATTGGGATTGGAAATGTGTCCATCAGACATGAGCCAGTTTCTGTTTTCTGAGTATAACCCATTACGAGGGAGTCACTTTTTCAATCCTCTGAAATACTCAAACTCATCTTTGCTGCGGTATAAGCTTTTTTGTTTTGTTTTTTTTTATAAATGAGAGCGGCCATTTTCAGCAGCTAAAGCATCCTGACCCTCCCCACCACAGTTTGGAGGATGGCTGAAGGAGGGGAGCATCCTTAACTTTCTCCCCTTCTTTAGCCCTTTTAAACAGGGTACAGTGCACACATGGCTATGCTTTAAAATATATACAAAATTAGCTATATGGGCATAATGTGGTATACTTTTGGCCAGCACTGTGTGTGTATACTGTTTTTTTCCATAGGAGAGAGGAACATCACAATCAGCAAGACAAGTGATCTAAAAACATTAAAAACATGCATAAAACTAAAGATGTACTTAAAGGGGTCTAAGCGGTTGCTAAGAGTAGCGGTGGAGTCACTCAATTAGCAACAGGAATATGGCGATGAGACAGAATGCGTTCCATCAATCTGTGGTCAAAATTAGGCATGCAATATCACTTCCGGGTCAGAGTCACAGTTGGTACATTCCCTTTTCCGTTTTGTCATTTGCAAAGTTGTTTTCTGAAATTCTATATTTTGTTTTGGTCAAATTTAAATTTGCTTTGTGAATTTTTTTTTCTTTTATTTTGTAACATCTGTTTGCACCTCAGGCCTTTACCAATATGATGACTTCAACAATTTTATCTAAGGTTCCCTGTAGACTGATATAGCCCTCTGTAGCCTTCCCACACTTTATTTAAGGTCTGCTTTAAACAGTGACAAGATACCATGGACAATTGCTTTGAATAAGACAGTATTTTATACAGATTCTTTCTGAAAACATTCTTTTAATGAGCTGCTACAGGAGGCAGGAAAAGAAATAGACTGTCTGTGAGAAACATACAGATCCTCTGTCCTGAGTTGAACTGTAGAAAAAAGTTTTTGTCATGCCTCTATGCATCCAATCTTCCAGCTGTCTGTCTCTATGGGAACTATGAGAAGAGAGTCTTTAAACCAGAAAGATGTGGTTTTAGAACATTAACGTGTTCTTTCATCCTGTCTCACTGAGGGACATATCTATATTTCATTTAAATTAAAATTTGAAAAGGGGAAAGACTTGTTACAGTCCCTCTGAGTCCAGCTGGAGTTTAACTACAGCAAAGCAAAAGGTGGTGAGAGGAGAAGTAGAAAGAGTTGGTAATTTACTGCTGACCCACAGACTATATGGAGCCACCATATTTCATCTCTTTGTTAGCTGATATCTAACATATTCTGATACCTATGAAATCTTTGACCACAGAGTGTCAGGACACACAGAAACCCACATCACCAACAAACACCCAATATATAATCTAAAATTGATGGTCACTAGCTCCTTATCGATTGAAAGCCCTGGCATGTAAAACCCCAGAGGTTGTTTTTTACAGGGTAATGGGAATCCCAGGGAATTTCACATTTACTTTTGAAAGCCCCTGGACATTAAACTTGAGAAAAACTGCCATAAACCTTCAGTCCAGCAGGTAGCGGCAAGGCAAGGCAAATTTATTTGTATAGCACAATTCAGGACAAAGACAATGCAAAGTGCTTTACATGATTAAAATACAGGAAGATAAAACAGAATCAAAGCAAGTAGGAAAAAATAAATAAAATAAAATAAAAAATGCAAAAACAAAAAAGAATATTAAAAACAGTTGGACTAAATAAAAAATGTTTTAGTTGAACTGTTTAACTAGAACAGTTGAAGGCAATCCTAAACAAATGTGTTTTTAGTCTTGATTTAAAGGAACTCAGGCTTTCCGCACTTTTACAGTTTTCTGGAAGTTTGTTCCAGATAAGTGGAGCATAGGAACTAAATGCTGATTCTCCATGTTTAGTTCTGGTTCTAGGTATGCAGAGCAGGCTGGAGCCAGAAGACCTGAGTCGTCTGGAGGGTTGATAAACTGATAGCAAGTCTGTGATGTATTTAGGTGCTAAGCCATTCAGAGATTTATAGACTAACAGAAGTATTTTAAAGTCTATTCTCTGAGATACAGGGAGACAGTGTAAGGACTTTAGAACTGGGGTGATGTGCTCTACTTTCTTAGTCTTAGTGAGGACACGGGCAGCAGCATTCTGGATCAGCTGCAGCTGACTGATCCACTTTTTAGGCAGACCTGTGAAAACACTGGTAATAGGAACACACCACTGGTTGTAATCAACCTTTACATGTTTACTTCCTTTAAAATAGGCTATTCTTTGTTGATATTGTTCCAACTGATAAATAGTTCAGAGTGAACTTTACAGTTATGCAGCTGATTCATTCCTTCTATTATTGAGTAAAATCACTGCATTCATTAAAACTTGAAATAAATATTTACATGTGTTTTTCTCAGCCTTCATCTGGCAAGACTTCATGTACAAAAATTTTTCCTTTATAATAATAATAATAAGATTAAACTCACATCCACAGCACAACACAAAACCCGTATCAGTCAAGCTACTCATAAAGGGAATTGATTGACTTTACAATCATGAGCAAATGTTTATATCAAGGAGAAGGTATAGTCAGTTGATAGCATAAAAAAGGATCTATGAAAGCTGAATGACAGCATCCAAACTGTGGTTTTTCAATCTACAGCACCGTCAGGATAAAACCATGAAAGGGAAGGAAAAAAAAATATTATTATATAAATATGAATAAAGGCGGTACACTCTACATGCTGAGGTTTATGTGAAGTCTAAGGAGAATGTATATGTACAAGGGAAATTGAAAATGTTCTGTTCAAACATGAGTAGTCCATTGAAATATTTTCATTCCCATCATCGTATTCCCTGTGCAACCCCGGTCTGGCTTCTGGCTTAGCTAGCCCAGTAGGCGAACCACCAAATCAAGTAAACTTTCTGGCGCTGTAAAAGCATAATTAACAGTAAAATCATAACCTTGATGAGGTGAGCACAAAGAAGTTTTGAGGTCTACTTTCTTTGTTAAAAAAACATTTTTAAATCACTTTTTCTGACAAACAAGTTAACTGGAAATGACCGACTGACTTGCCGATAGTACGGCTGTGATTAGAGGGGAGATCCAACTCGGTACACTGGCTGAGAAGCCTGACGGCACAGAGCTCCGAAGATCAGCATATTTCTTGATAAACTGAATACACAAATGAAGCTCTTGAAACGTATCTTTATGCCAAATTAAAAGTATAAAGGCAACGTTGTGCACTCACAGCTGTTGCTACTGATGTAACAAACACTGCAGTGCTGACCACATTTCCACCCCTTTAACAAGCCCCTGGAATTTTTTATTTTCTTACCTATCTTGAGGCAATAAAGCCCTTAGAAAGGGAAACCTGTCTCAATGTAAAGCTCCCCTGGCATTAAAAGCCCCAGACTTTCCAAAGGCTCCGTGGTTTTAAAGGGCAATGGAAAACAGGCTTTTGATTATTTTTTAACAAGGTGTCAGTCTTTACTGGATCCAGTTGAAGCCACTGATTTCTCGTTTTGCTGGTAATAAGATATTGTATAGAAATGATACTGGGGCAATGAATACACTATCCCTGTACTTAACGCCCTTAACTATAATCATATGTGTTAGCCAAAACTCTCTATAGAGTTATTATTTTCATGATCATTTAGACAGAAAGAGTTGTTAAAAATTAAACTCTGGTCTAACAATTAATGGAAATAGAATAAATCAGCCTTTGTACTCCGAGAAATCCAATGGATTCTGGTGCGTGTTCTGCTTTTACCTAAACTGTTATGATGAATCCCTCAGGCAGATGTGTACAAGGTCAGCTTTAAAATTAGTTTCCTGCATGTTTTAGATCTTCCTCTGGTTTAAATCCTAATCATTACTAATAGCTGTACAGACCTTGGTGGCGTCCTGACGAGGTTACCTGGCCCCCTTGAATCACCTGTGCTGCTGTTTGGGGTCGATTGGTTCTAAGATTAATCCTTAGACTTAGACAAACCTAATTGTCATTTTATACACACAGTGTATACAAAACGAAATGTTGTACAGTACAACTCTCAAGACATTTCCACTTCTTAAAGTGCAGCAGTGATAAAAAGTAACATGGTGATCAAATGTAAACATGAGAATGAGATGATTTACAATTTTTCCAACATTCAGCGCTTCTTTTTTTATTTTTCACCATTTTATTCGACATTCAGCAGTCTTATGTCAGTGGGAAGGAAGCTGTTTTGGAACCTACCGGACCTGCATCGGATGCTTTGAAGCCTCTTCCTAGAGGGAAGATGTTTGTATAACTCCGCTTTATAAAATAGAATAACAAATAAACATCCCAATGATCTGTGTGTAAACATCTGACCGGAACTGGACCTTTTTATCTATAAATAAGGATAATTAACTTATCCATGTTTATACTTTTAAATTCCCTTCACGCACAGTTTTGCCTGTGATTTAGTATCGAGATGTGAGAGAATATTTTCCTCTTGTTCTATTTGAAATAACTCCAAATGACATCCTGAGAGCTCAGTTTACTTCACAATCAGGGCCGGCGATTGCTATAGGCGAGCTAGGCAATTGCCTAGGGCGACAAATGTGTTGGGGGCGCCCTCTATACTTAGCGTCGCCCTTAGGCTTACTTCCCATTAATCATAGAATTAGAAAAAAAAGCGAATTAAACCGGTTATGAAGCATCCGTCAGTTTGACTTAAGCTTACGTATATATAAATAGCAAAATATGAACAAATAAATATACCACCGTTTTTTTTTTTTTTTTTTCACATTTAAGAGAAAATCGGAAAAGATTCTGATCTCTTTTCAAGCGCCCTCCAACCCGGAAGTCGTGACGTCAATCCCTGCAGCATGTCCACCAATATTTTGGAATGAAATTGTAAGCAAACAGATATTAAAAGTAAAACAAGTGAATTCTGACACTTAACTTTGCTCGCGACTCGAGGATGGCTGAACGGAAAAGACTCCCCTCTCCTCCTCCAGCTGCTGCCGCAGTCGGCCCGTCTTAATCATCCACTCAGAGTACCACTGGTAAGCGCACACAGACTTTGTAGCTTGTCCGGTCAGTTAAAAATATTAATTGTGAAATCCGTCTTGTAATCGGAAGCATACAAGCTAGTTAGCTTGAAAAGTAAATAAAGTTTCAGACGTGTTGCGTGATGATGTGTTCAGATTGGCTCAGTAAAATGACAATTAGGTTATCATGATGCGTTCAAGTGTAACGTAAAGAAAACGGGAAATTTTGTTTTTGGCGAAAAACATGAGTAATACAGTTGTATATTGCTCTATATATAATGAAACTACTGATGCCAACATTTATTAAAAATTACATTTAATTTAAAATACAATTATTTATTTGTTAAATATTTTCCTAATCACTAAAAACATGATGAAAAGTGACAGTAGACAATACATTAACCAACAATTGTGAAAATATATTCTAGTTAGTTTTATGTCATTTCCAAGTGGCCTATTACATTAGCCATGTTTATTGAAGGCTAGAAACGTTTTTGTTATGCTCACTTGTTAAGCAATAGTGCAATACCAGTTCTGTTAATAAAATTTTGTTGCATCGTCTTTCCACCAAATAACAAAAAAGTATCGATAGTGGTATCGATAAAGACTCGGATCGATAAGGAGTATCGATAAAGGTATCGATATCAATAAATATTAACGATCCCCATCCCTAATGTTGACATTTTTTTCTCAGAATTATGTGCTATATTATTAGCTTGAGAATGGGTAGAAGATACTAATATAAATAAAATATTTTGTAGTGATTATCTGCATTGAGTGTTCAAAAGGGATGTACAAATAATCATCAAAATATATGAAGTTATGGCTGTTCATCATAGAATATGTGAACAAAAAAAAAAACGACTTCAAACTTTTAATTTTGTAATGGTATTCATAAAAGCACTTTTGTTTGTAGAGGGTTAATCCTTTCTTTAATCACTAATCAGTGTCAGAAATCAGGGTAAATATACCTGATATATTTTATTTAGAGGAAAATTTTGTTTATCTCATTTCTATTTATGTTCAAATGATTTAATTGAACTGGAAAAGAAAATTTAATTTAATGTTTATCAATTACTTTTTTATGTAGTCCTTGGTTGAAGAATTTCTTAAATTTATTATTTTTTATTGTTATTTGGTAATTTCTGAAATTTATTTATTTAATATTTGTTTAATGTGTGTTAAATTTGTTAATTGTCTGAAATAAATTCATTCAATGATTCAATCCAGTTTTTTAGTTATACTTTACCTAAGTGTCCTTACAGATGGTTAAAAGTGTTTTTGCACAGTCCTAACTTTGAGTGTGTAATAAATTATTTAAAATAAGAGGTATTGAAACCTATTCTGGTATTTGTCTATGCATCACTCCATGCTAAGTTACAGTTTTTTCTGAATGCTTAAACACAACCTTGATTCTTATAGCACAATTCCTAAAACTATTAATACTTATATCAAATCCACTCACTGAACTCAATGAAGCACTAAACAGATGCTGAAAACAGTATTCGTATTTAGCACGGCAAAAGTGAGCGGGGGGGGGGGGCGCAAAACTCAATCTCGCCTAGGGCAACCAAAGGGCTAGAACCGGCCCTGTTCACAATGACCACTTAACCAGGATTTGGGCTCATAAATTGATCTGTAAAGTATATAGAGCATATATTTCATTTTTATAGCTGAGACCCTCATAAGTTAAAACACACGGAGTATAATTTATGATATGCAACAATTAACAACCCTTCTCTCCATCTTTCTCCTCTTTGTGGTTTTACATCTTAACAATATATATATATATTTTTTCCATCTGCAGGAGGAGCCAATCGCTGGTTTCAAGTTCAGCAACTACCTAGAGTTTATGATGGGACTGGAGCGCAGATACAGGAAGATAATTCTGACAGACATGGATAACATCAAGAATCCTCAGGAGTAGAACCTTCAAAACCCTTTTTATTTTTTTACAAAATGAAACATTGACCAACTGTCATTCTTCTCTGACTTTACCATAAGCTTTATATATATATATTTTATATTTATTTTATATATATATATATATATATATTTTTTTTTTTTTTTTTTTTTTTTTACATATTCTCATTCTAGCTGGATATATTCTAACAATATATATTCCATATATATTACATACCATAAATAAGACTTTCAACATCCATTCTCTCCCTCTGATGTTCTTAGCACTAGCTGTCTAAAATGTACATATTTGTAATGTATATTTGTATCATGTTTATCCCCTCTTAACTGTAAAGTAGACTGCTCGTTGTTATTTGAGGGAATACTCAAATAACACACCCAAGGTCAGAATGAATACAAAATTCTATTTGAATATTTCTTTTTGTACAAAGTTGAATATGCTGACAACAAAATTGCAAAAATAATCAATGGAAATAAAGTTAACCAATGTAGTTCTGGATTTGGAGTCAAAAACAAAAAGTGGAAACACATTACAGGCTGATCCAACTTTGATTAAATGTTTTTAAAACGGGTCAAAATTTGTTTCAGTATAATGTGTGGCCGCCACGTACCTGTATGACCTCCCTACAACACCTGGGCATGCTCCTGATGAGCTGGTGGATGGTATCTTGAGGAATCTCCTCCCAGCCCTGGATTAAAGCAGCCGCCAATTCCTGGACAGTCTGTGGTGCCAGTCCATAGTTTCTATGCCTTCATCTTGCAGGAACTGCCGAAGCTCCAGCCAAAAGGTCTTGCATTGTCCTGCAGTGGGGGAACCCAGCTCCAACCACACCAGCATATGGTCTCACAAGGGGTCTGAGGATCTCATCTCGATACCTAATGGCAGTCATGCTACCTCTGGCGAGCACATGGAGGGCTATGTGGCCCTCCAAAGAAATGCCACCCCACACTACTACTGATCCACTACTAAACCAATCATGCAAAAGCATGTTGCAGACAGCAGATTGTTCCCCATGGTGTCAATAGACTCTGTCACGTCTGTCACGTGAACCAGGTGAGTCCAATCTGCACAATTTAATTCACTGTGCAGATTAAACTCATCTGGTTCATAGCTGGCAGAATAAATACATGACATATAGATGACCTGATGGCTCCACATCTCCCACCTCTGACCATTTAGTCACCCTTCTTGTGAAGGAAGACCACTATTCTAGTCAGCTGAAATGCCTCCGGTTTCCAGCAAAGTTCAGCCAAGCCTAAAAATCAGCCAGAGAAGGACCCATGGAAACAGAAGAACTTTTAAAACACTACTACTGTAGTCTTTTTAGATTTCAATAATGTCCTCAGTCAAGGTCGGCAGCTCCCTGCTCCTGCTGAAAATAGGGAGACAAAGCACAGCTTACCCATCTGGAGCCACTGGATGGTTTGTGTGAATTGCTTTGAAGACGACCTATAGTCTTTCTCCCCGATTTTCTTCAAATTTCTCCAATGTCAAACTTTTTGCATCTGTAATCACCCAAGTAGTGCCACACTTGACCTCCCGGCACCGGCGTGGTGCCTTAGCAGTCCCACAACTCAGCCTGGCTTATTATAGTGACATAGACAAGTCAAAATAATGACATAGTAACTCATAATTATGAGATAACATTCATAATAATGAAGTGAAGGTGTTTTTTAAAGCACAGTGGCAGAAATGGTAATTATTTGAATTATTCTCATGCTCTGTCCTCATACACAATCAGAGCTTGACATTAACACCTGCCAAATGCAGATACATTTTAGCTGTGGCAGTTGGAACAGCCAATCCTACTGGCCACTTTGGTGGGTTGGATTCTATTTCCTTTTTAATTTTTAGTTTTCTCATCTGAAATGACAAGCAAATCTGCAAAATACGGTCGCAAAGCTTCCACCAAACCCATCTCAATGAAAGATGAAACGGCTGCATTAATATAGGTTCCCTTGCATTTACCTCATGCATGGCCTCGTCCAATGTGCGCCTCTGTTGTGTTTAAATTGAATTTGATAACATAAGATTAATTTACCTAGCTTGAAGTAGTCCTACTCAATTCTAGTCAGAATATGAGTCTGATGCTGCTCCATAGAGCTGTGATTATGGGGCGTGTTTCGAGCGAACCAGAAAAAAAAAGCCTCTGCACTCAATTGGATAGACCTACAACCAATAAGAGCAACGGAGTGCGTGACGTATGTTAAGCGACCAAGGGAGCCAGCTGATAAATTAAACTTTTGCCGAATCCCGTAGGAAGGACGCCAAAACATCTTTCTTTTCAACAAATGCCTTAATCGCGTTTCTCTGTTCCTCTTTTAAAATCTATTTGCTGTCGATATCTTCTAGAACAGACCTAATAGCAGAATCTACTTACCTCAACCCTCCAGCGGCAGCCATTGTTGTTGTCACCCAAGCGCGCTTTGGTGACGTGGTGGATTACGTTACTGTTGGTCCATCATCGTATAAAGCCCGCCCTGACAATTTGATTGGCCTGCCAAATATTGGGCAAGCATACTCGCGCTACTATTGAGCAATGCCAGACCGAACTTCCCGACCTCAAACATTGTGGGCGGGACTAAGTTCGGAATGGCACCCAGGCTATTGATTTATGTAGTTTTTAGGTAAAATATGACTGAATTCCTTAAAATATTTTATAGAGTTTATTCTTAGTTTTAAATGCATAGGTGGGAGATATGAGTCAACAAGTATTCTATATGCCATATATTTGTTCTGATCAGCCACTGAAGCAGGTGAGTCCAATCTACACTGTGAATTAAATTGTGCAGCCACTAAATTCACCCGGTTAAGCAGCAGGGCAGAACAAATCCATGGCATAGAGAGGACTTTTTGACTCCAGATCTCCCACCTCTTTTTAAATTTATTTAGGTAACTTTCTGTGCTCCTGATATTGATCTCAACTGGATAAAAGTATTAGCCTACTAAACATGGATTTTATCTATAGTTCATTTATTACATTTCAAACTAATCCTCTACTTTCCTGCAACATTTTTAAAATTCAATAAGAAACAACACATTTTATTATGTTGTACACTGCATCACTTCATTTATGAGGCCCTGGTCTGGTTACATGCCATTCATTTGAATTAGAAGGTGAAGGATAATGGCTCTGAATGACTGGCCTTGGGGATTTCTGCCTTCGAGCAATCTGTTTCAAATGGTTTTCACCTAACAACATATCTTCTGCTGTCTTTTGTGAAAGTCACATAAGCGTAAAACCACTGTCAATACGTTGCGTGTTTTTTTCCTTTTATCTCATGTTCTAAGGGCATGCTTAGATGGATTGAGAAGCAGAACTATTGGATCATGTGTGAATCATAAGTTGGACCCAAAGGATGAACCAAGAAACAAATTACAAACACCTAACTGAGTCAAACGTTTACTTTATGAGGCATCCACCTATTTCATTGTGTATAAATTTGCATAGAATTATTTTTGAAATATTGGGTCAACACTTAGTAGTTCGAACTTTATACATTTCCTGCATTTTTTCCTCTATTATAGGCCTTAAAGAATTTTACGCCGAAGCATGAAATTATTTCTTTGTAACCAACTAGTTAAACAAAGAGGCTACTTATTTTATATATCTTCACTACCGGGTTACAATGCAGTGCACAACTCAGCCCCTTCTGTTCTCTACCTCTGCTGGTCATTGCATTAAAGATGCATGAGGAGTCTTGTGTGTTGTGTTACTGCGATAGAGCCTCATTAGTAACCAGAGCCTTATTCCTGTGAGGGTGTACCGCAGTTCTGTTGTCCTTCTGAGGCCTGAATACCAAATAGGGGTGTGGGAATAAAATAATTCATATTGTGATTTTTTAAGTAAAATCGACCATTCAGTTTCAAGTATCGATTTTTTTACAAAGCAAAACATTTAGATGGTACTGTGGAGCCCCTTTGCTGTGTTTTACAGTGGCATATGTGTAGTTGAGGCAGTCACAGTTGAAACCTGGACTGACAGAAAAACCAAACAATGTTGATATCAAGTCTTCATAATACATACATTGCACACATTGTTTCTGATTGGGGTCCCCAATTCATCATCCAATAGTCGAGGGAGTTCTGCTCTTTACTGGAGATCTCTGTCAGCCTGTCCCCCAGATTTCATCTCGAAATTGATGGCCAGGTCGAAACAGCTAACCAAAAGGCTGATACCAAACTTTGCATCATCTGTTTGTCTGATCCCACCAAATGGTCTGATTATCTGTCTTGGGTTGAACATGCCATTTACTCCCTGCCATCCAGTACCACAAGTCTCTCCCATTGTTATGTGGTCTATGGCAGTGTTTCTCAATCCTGGTCCTCAAGGCATACTGCCCTGCATGTTTTAGATGTTTCCCAGCTTTCACACACCTGTTATCAATTGATAGCAGATTATCAGGCTTTGCTGAACTGCAATCATCTAAACCAGCTTTGCTGAACCTCAGAAACATCCAAAACATTGCCTTGAGGACCAGGATTGAAAAACACTGGTCTATGGATTACATCAGCGGTGTCAAACTGATTTTAGAAAGGGCCGTGTGGCTGCAGGGTTTCTTTCCAACCAAACAATAGCACAATTGGACTCACTAATGAGATGAGTAGAGTCTGGTGTGCTATTGCTTGGTTGGAAAGAAAACCTGCAGCCACACGGTCCTTTCTGGAGCCAGTTTGACATCCCTGGATTACATCCACTGGTGTTCACCATCAATGAAAGAAAGAAGTTCCATCAGGCCAAATTACTGCCAGCGATTATGGAGGAGAGCCAGAAAAAAAACATGATTCCAAGAGTTGCTGCCTAGTCACAAGCTGCCAATCGCAGTCATCTGCCAGAACCTCTATACCAAGTTCTTTAGAAGGTCTGGCTCGCTACCCCTCGCTTCATCAACCCATTCCCGATCTCTAAGGTGATGAACCTGGTAGCCATTTGCCTTCAGTTACAAAGGACAATGAAAATTCATCCCACCGTTGACATGTCCTGGTGGAAACTTGTAAGGACCTCAATGTCCCCTTAAGGACAAAGGACACTCTTTTGAGGACTAAAATGTTCACATTTTGGACAAAGAAGACAGGTGGTACAAAAAGGGGTG